GCTCCGGACGCGCAGGCTCAGCGGCCATGGCTCACGGGCCCAGCCACTCCACGGCATGTGGGATCCTCCCGGACCGGGGCACTAACCCGTGTCCCCTGCATCGGCAGGCGGACTCTCAACCACTGTGCCACCAGGGAAGCCCTAAAGGCACTTTATTTAATATCATTATTGATTTATTAATATTGAACTCATAGCTAGCAGCACTATAACTCATGCGTGAGCGAAGCTTATCTAACACACGTATTTTCTCTGTCAGCCACATCAGAGCCTTCTTGCACTTAGGAAACTAGACGGCACTTCAGCGCTATGCTTGGGGCTCGTGTAGGATCACCAACTAAAAGCATAAAAATGTGAGAAACGTGGCACTAAATAAACCATGAAAAGGACATTTGTTTAAGTAGGAGAGCTGAAACAAGAAGGTAGAATGTTGCCTTGTTCAACTTCAGCTGAGAAAGAGGGCATTGGGCAACTCAAAATTTTCCCTGCTTTTCAGATGTCAATGAATGAGACTGCAAGGGTGCCATGAGGATTGATTTTGGGGTTACAAATAAGTTTTGGCAAATAGACAGAATTGCAAATATGAAATCCAAGAATAATGAAGATCAACTGTATATATAATAAAATGTATACTATATAAATGCATTTTACATATCTTTATATTTCCTATATAAATAAGAAATATATAAAATACATAATAACACAATTGTTACTATCTTATATATAGTGTCACACTACTTGGCAATATATTGTATGCATGTCAGTAAGCATATTTACAAATAGATTCCAAATCGTTTCCCAGACTAGCGTTAAATGTGTCTTGGGTTATAAGGATTCTATGAGAGATCAGTTTGCCAAATGCTGATATCAAGAAATCCTCTAAGTGTGTGGCGTTTGAAAAAGGCCTGGGACTTCCCTGGTGGCGCAGTGGTTAAGAATCCACATGCCAATGCAGGGGACACGGGCTTGATCTCTGGTCCGCGAAGATCCCACACGCCACGGAGCAGCCAAGCCCGTGCACCACAGCTACTGAGCCCGCGTGCCTAGAGCCCAAGCTCTGCAACAAGAGAAGCCACTGCAATGGGAAGCCCGTGCACTGCAACAAAGAGTAGCCTCTGCTCGCCACAACTAGAGAAAGCCCGTGCATAGCAACGAACACCCAATGCAGCCAAAATAAATAAGTAAATAAATTTATAAAAAAAAAAAAAAGAGAGAATAGCCTGTTCCCCAGATTCTTATAGTTATGCTTTGACAGGAACAGGGGCACATGTGCCAAAATAGAGGCTACAGTCAGTTTCCCTTTTACAGTTGTATATTTTACGCATCTTTTGTTACTTTGCTTTTCCAAGCTCTCATAGACCATTATACTGTGTATCTCATTGGATAGGGCCTTGTTCTGGGCTTCCTCATGTCCTATCTCTCTAGGCATCTAACAGGAGCTTAATTTAACAAGAAGCCGTGGCTGTCCTCAATTGAAATAATTTCAAAGTCTCTCATCAGATGGCTCTTTTGGAAATGTCAGCAGTTTTTAAACTGTCAGTGCTACAATATAAACAATGCTACATACACTGTTAATCATGGAAGTGATTTCTGGTTTCAGTAAAACAGACCCCAGGGAAGTTTTCTGTGGTGACATATTTTTCACTTGAGATTGCTAAAGACTCAACTACAGCTGGTGTCTATCCACAGCCTGGCATTGAATTGTCTCATTTCCTGAGACCTAAGCATTATAGGTTACATCTGGTATGTTAAAACATTATTTGATAATGGGTGCAATATCATTTCAACTACATACAACTTCTGCCAGTGAATATGTATAATTTTTGCTTTTAGAATTTATATTCTCTCCCTGCTCCTGTATTTCTTTTTAACCTTTGAATTGGGAAGAAGCCCAACCACTCTAATTGAGAATATCCTCATAGTATGGTTTTTATGTGCTTTGTTTAATATTCTATTATTATTAAAGAATCAAAACCTACCAGATAATGTGAACGGTAATTGTGCTGTCCTGATTTTGTTTTTTCTTATATTTATGTACTAAATCCAGATACTATGAAAAACAAATTGCAGATGCAAAAATTGAGAACATAATGATGATGAGAAAACTCCCTGTAAGAACCGTAGGATATGACCGAAATTGCAGTCAGAGACAAATTCATAGCCTTAATCCTTTCACTGTTAAATGAGAATGAAAGTAAATAAAACCTAAGCAGAATTAAAAGGTAAACCACAAACTGTATAAAGAGCTCTTATAAATCAATATGAAAAAATACAATATCCCAGAAGGAAAATGGAGGAAAGAAGGGCCGTCAAGAAGAAGGCCCATGGGCAAACAAGTTTTGGTTCCCCAGGAAGGGAAGACTAGCTAAAAAATTTTCAGGTCGTATTATTTGGAGAAGGTAATAGAGAGGACGTGACCGCTGGTTGACTTGTGAGCTATACTTGGGCAGTCAGAGGCTCCTCATCCCTCCCCTGTCCTTGGAATGTATGTTCCGCCCTCCGTTCCCATGTGGGAGCGTTTTCAAGGCTGTAGGCTTGGGAGAGCAATGTGTTGCTGAGACCATCTGGATGGTGTACGCAATCGAACCCCAAGAATTCCATATAAACTTTCTGGCGGGCAGTACAGAGGTCTACTAGTTATGCAGCCGCCCAAGAGAACTCTCCTGAGTAAGTCCCCTTGCTGTATAAACCTGCCCCCACCACGCTGGAATGCTGTGCCTCTTCAGTCTCTGCTCTCCCTCTACATGCTGGGGCCAGTTTGCAAACCAATGTGTAGTTGCCTTGGGGCTCTTGACCACCAGGACTTTGTGATTTGCCAGTTTTCCTCCCTCTCTTCTGCTCTGGTGAAAGATAGGAAAAGGCAGTTTATGAAAGCCAAATTACATGTTTAATAGTAAATAAAATGCAAAATACATATAATACTGATCTGCCACTTTGTCCTGCCAAATTGGCAAAACTATAAAAGGAAAATATCAAAGTGGACAAGAGTGTAGGGAAATGAGCACTTTTATACTGTTTTTGGAAGTGTAAGCTAATT